GAGGAGTCAGGTGGCTTCTCTTCTTCCTTTCCCCCTTTCCAGTTTTTCTCCTTCAAAAGCAACGGCCATCTTTTAAACCTAAGGTTGTCATTCAAGGTGGTTCTCTCAGGTCCTGCACTCATCAATCATCTCGGTCATTGGTTCCTTGGCAGGTTCTTGCATTCACGTCCTACAAGCAAAGCAGGATGAGCCAATTTAGCTGTTACTGCAACCAATCCAAGCTGGAATTCTGATTTTAAAGGATACTGGCTTTGCCTTACCCATACAGATCCCACATCAGGGGTAATACCTACAGGTTCTGCCCTCTTCCACTCTACTGGAACTCCACTGGCCCACACCACAGGAACAATTGCAGCTGCCACTTCAGTCGGGACCTTGCTGCTGACAGGAGTTATTCCCTGCACAACAAGAGCTGCTGCTTTGACACATTTAGTTCCAGCAATTACAGTTCCAACATCCCCAGTTTTTCATTTCATTTCTGCCTCAACTTTTCCACTCAATCTCTTCAGGTTTGGCTGAGTTTGGCAAATAGGGAAACTGAGGAATTCCCCAATGTTTTCCCAGTTTAACCCCTGTCACACCAGTCACCTTAACACTGCCAGCCCTTAATTCTCCTTCTCTTGGGTTAAGGACTGAGGCAGTTGGACCTGGGTCTGAGCAGGACATGTGCAAACCAAATGCTGGGGACTGGAACACACACCTTGCACTCCTGCAGCTCTTACCATCGCATTCAAGAGAAAACAGCCAATTGGACCATCACTGCTCGATTCTTAATCCCAATCCCACACTTCCTTTGCACTTGGAGCACCACTTTTAGAACCCAATTACAGTCCAGTAGAGAGCTCCCTGTCTAGCATGGACAGCTACACCTGGGATACTCTCAGCAATGCCTGAATCCAGTGCAGGGACCTTGCTTTGAACTCCCCAGGGCCGGGCACCCCGAGGATCTCCCCGAATAATCCTTTCGGTGCGCGCTGGAGTCCTCAGGGTGCCCCAACCCGGGGGGCACCAACAGCACTGTCCCTCCAGGGGGGCCCAATTTGGTCCCAAGGCTTCAATGGACAGCCCAAAAGGCATTTCAAGAGCCCTTCTTTGGAACCCACCAACGGGGACGGGGAGGAAGCCACAACAAGGCCTCATTTCTAAATGCAGGGGGATCTTGCCTGTGTCCCAGACTGGTCCGGGGATCTGAGGCCCTTCCCGAGAAAATCTCGGTGCCGGCGTGAAGGGCCAGAGACCCCTTGGAGCCACGGGAGAGCAGGCACAGAGTCCCTCCTGCAGGGCCAATTCTGCTGCCTGAACTCAGCTCTTCCAAGAAACCTCTAAGATTCAGCTGGTGAGTTTTAGAAGCCAGGCATTCCTTGCTTACAACACCCTGCCATGATCCCAGCCCACCGGGTGTCCTGGCAATCAGCTCCCAAAGGGCACACACAGAGCTATCTCCACTGCAGCTGATATGGCAGCATTACAGGAGGGTTCATTTTCCTTCCCTGCATTCCTAATCCCTACTCAGGACATTTTCCAACACTCATTGCCATGCAAATTTGCATCTCCTTTTGTGCAGGTGTCAACAGAGACCAACACAGCTTTTGCCTTTTTCAGACAACTGTGCCCCTTTTGGCTCCCTGGCAGCTCCAATGGCACCAGGACCCCCTTCCAGCACACCCACGGCTGTCACACACAGCCACCCACACACCTTTGCTCCAGCCCACACGGGGCCAACATTTCCTCACCCTGCACATCCCAAGGGCAGTAGTTTTGCTAGAGAGCACAGCAACCCCCCTGCCCTCACAAACTGCCTCCCTGCAAAAAAAGGAATCATTTCTCCTGGACCCTTTGCCCACAGTCAAGGGCTTTTCAAATGTGCTCAGGGTCCCTCCCAGCTTCTGCCTGTCCTTGCATTTCAAGGCATGGGCATGTTTCAGCAGCAGAACCCAGCTCCTCACGGGCAGTATAAGCCCTGCTCTTACCTGGACAGACTCCCGGGCTCGGCACAGCTGTGGCTCATGGAGCAGCTTCCCAAGGCCCTTCTCTCTCCCGGCAGGAAGCACAACTCGCCTCCACTCCCCAGCACCAGGGGAAACCACGAGCCAGGCTGCAAATTGACACAGAACGAGCAAAAAGCATTAATGCAGCACCAAAAAATGAGCCGCGCCCTCAGCCCTCACACACACAACCGGCCCCACCCCCCCCGCCGGCCCTTTATACCGCGGGCCGGCAGCGCTGCCCAATCAGCGCTCGAGCGCCGCCGCCCAATCCCAGCCCGCCGGTCCCCGCGGCCCCGCCCCGGCCGCTCCGCTGAGGGAGATCGGGAACTGGGGACAGGAACCTGCTGCTGGGGGAGACACCCTGGACATGGAATTGCACACGGGCACCTGAAGCCCAGGCGATTCGCTTGCCTTGGCAAGGCCCTGCGTTGCTCCCAGGCACAGGAAATCTCTGTTTCCCTGCCCAGCCCTGGAGACAGGTGGCCCCTAAAATCCCCGGCAATCAGGAAGCCCAGGCTGCAGGAGCTGGCAGGACCCAGTGGCCGTGTGTGCCGTGTGACACCGTGTCCTGCAGCCCCACGGACCTGCACAGCAGGGACAGGTCCTGGCAGCGTTTCAGTGCCGAGGCCAAAGCTGGGGCTCAGGGACAGCTGGGGCACATGGCAGCTCTGGGAATCTCTGCCATGGATGGCTGGCCATTCCAGGATTGCCTGCTGGGCAAAGGAGCTTCTCTGCAGACTGTGGAACCAACAGGTCTCATGGACTGTAAGAAGCCAGAATTGCTGTAGAGGAATCTGGGTCAGAAGAGACAGTTCAAGGTCTCTAAGTCTGACCTCCTGCTCAGGCCACAGTCACCAATGGGATCGGACCGGGCTGCTCAGGGAGGGATCCAGTCATGTTTTGAAACATTCCACGGATGGGGATACAACAACCTCCCCAGGCAACCCATTCCATGAGCGACTGCCCTGACAAAATACCTCCCCCTCCTATGCGGTTGGAAGCAACAGCTGGGCTGGCAGGAGCAGAACCTCCCTGCTGGGCCATTCCCCAGCAGCCCAAATGCCCTGTCCGGGGCTCGGTGCGGAGGCCGGGGTGGCTCGTTCCTCCAGCTGGGCATTTTAGGAGCTGCCCTTGCCCCGTCCCTGCCAAGTCCCTCTGGCAGTGGTGCAGCTCCTCAGCTGGAGTGCCTCTGAGGGACCCCCGGCCACGTTTCCCAGCAGCTGAAGGAAGGGAGGGTCACCCCCCAAGCTGGGCTGCCTTTCTCTCACTGCCTTTTCCCCACCTTTACACTGCAGTGACAAGAGCTGCACTTTCCCAGGGAACGGGGCAGGGACAGGGGAGAGCAGCAGGCAGGAACCCCCTTCTTTTCTGCAGGCCAATGACTAACTGTGTGTGAAGGGACAGCGACTCTGGTAACAACTCCACCTCCCACTTCTTGTCACAGATCGATCTGAGGCACTTGTCAGGTCAATACCTGCCCTTTGCAGGAGCACCAGGCTCGTGTTCAGTGTCCTCATTGTAGCCCACGAATCCCTCTAGGTGTTAAATCAGCCTCTCTGTCCTGATTCTTCTCATGAAGAATTAGCGTTTAATGAGAGATACAAATTATCCTGAGAGTGTCTATGTTACAAGCTCAGTTTGGCAGTGTTGCTATCCTGGAAAGTGTGGGACAGGGACTGTCAGTTCTCCTTATGCTGCTCTTAAACACCATCCCTACATTGCCAGGAGAACTCTGGAGGGAGAGTCAGAGAGTTTAAACCATGAAACCTTGGCATCGCAATTGTTATTTCTAAGGATGTGTTTCTATCTGATACAGTTGTTGGGGCGATTATTCTGGAGAGTGTTTTGTACCTCAGGCAGTAAGTCTGATGGATCAGCCTCCTCGTGAGCAGGAACCAGCACGTTCCCCAAAGGAATGTTCTGTCAGACTCTGTCAAACACAGCACGGAGGTGAGCAGGAGTGGTGCTTGTGCACAGTTGAAGTGAAGCTCCCTTGGATTCGGACTGCTCTGGGAGATCTTTGTTGAGATGGGTATTTCTGCACAGCTTCTTGTGCCATGTTGAATTTAGAGATGAGCTGATAAAGGCAGTGACACTGTTCTGTCATCACTGAGCTTTTGAGGATTTCCAACCCCTTACTCTTAAGTCCAGGGGCTCGTTGCCGGGGGTCCGTGCTCGGGGGTTTGTTCCCGGGGCTCGTTCCCGGGTCCCGCCCGTGCCCGCTGCAGGTCCTGGCCAGTGCCGCCTCTCGCCCGGCAGGCGGAGTGGGGGCCCCGCGGCGGGAGGACCGAGGTGGGATTGGGGCTGGGATCGGGACCGCTGCGGCCATAGCGGGGCTGGGACCCCCCCAGGGAACGGGACACGGTCCCGCTCGGGCCGGGGGAGCCGGGGCTGTGCCGCGGCACGGGAGAGCGGTGACCCCGGTGGGCACGGCCGGGACTGCAGCCCCGGGCGCGACCCAAAAGCGGGGGATAGACCCCAAACCACGGCCGGGATGAGAGAGTGTGTCGTGGGTGGCCATAACCACTTGTCCCTCCCGCAGTCCTCGGCCCTGTCGCTCAAGTCCTGCAGTGCGGACTCGCCGTTCCCGGTAGCTGGAGAGGGCTCCCATCCCCGGGCGGCCCCAACGCCCCTAAATCCCGCAGCTCCTGCTCCCGATCCCCGAGTGCCGGCTCTCCTCATCCCGCCCCTGCCGCAGGTATCTGTACGAGTACGCCAGCAGCTACAGCCAGGCGCCCCTGCCTGTGCTCCTGGGCTCCACCAGGACCTTCCTCTCCATGGTCTCCACCTGCTGCATCTCCCCTGCACCCACCGCCTGCTTCCTGAAGGAGGTGACACCCCTGGCACCAGTGGGCTCATCTCCATGCTGCTCCTTGGCAATCCAGGCGAACCAAGGACGCCTGCTTCCAAATTTCCAGCCACTCCCCCATACCACCACAGTGATCCTCAGATCTCAATTCAATCAGACAAGACTCGACACAGAAGGAGCAAAAATGGACATGAGCTCTCCTATAAATGCATAAAGCTACTTTATTTTCAGTAGACATTTAATTTTGAAAAATAGAAATGCTAAAATATCTCATCATCTTTTGATTCCATAAAAGTCACAATAGAAAGCTTCATAAAACTGTAAAATACTATAATGTTATAAGGAATTTCATGGTTTCTATTACTGGGAAAAAAAAATAACTTGAATAAGATTTGAAAGGTTTTCTGCTTTTTTCCTTTTTGTTCCACCATCCTGATCCACTTCATTTCATCCCAAGTTTTCATTCCCTCCTCCAAAGCAAATACAGACCTAGGAGAATTAAAAACAATAATAAAAGTAGCTGAAAGTGCTGTTGATTCAAAATCAAAATCCAAATACAAAGGTGTATCAGCAGGCCAGAGGCTGGTGGCCACCGTGTTCCCGGAGCTGGGACAAAGCTGGCTGTGGCTGGTGGCCGTCAGGGGTCCCACCGGGAGCTGGGACCTTGGATTTGTGAGGGGAAGGTCGTTGTTGGCGGCCGACTCTGATCTCAGAGGGCTTTGGGTCAGCCTCCACACCTATTCCCTGAAGCGCCCACCCAGGCTTTTCCTACGAAATACCCAATTTGGATTGAACTGCTCCTCTTCAGGCCTTTTCCCACGTCTCTGCAGCCTTTTCAGAGCAGGTTTCAGCTGCGTTCCTGTGACATACAACACAGCTTTCATGGAAACGGAAGCGAAGACCCCTTGAGAGTGAGCGGGGGAGGTACGGAGGTGACGGCTCCTTTGTGGGAACAGATGCTAAAATTTGGCATTTAAGGTCTCAGCACCATCACAAAATCCTCTCGACTTCACCAACGAGAACTTTGGTTACACAAGGACCAAGCGGCAGCACATGCCCTTCCTCTGCAGTGGGGTTGCCTCCATCAGGGAATTCACCTGGACAGTTTGGGGATTCTTTTTTCTTATTATACTTTTTGGACGAAGTTTTTAGTGTGTTCCCTCATTTCCCCTGTGCCATGGTCCAAACCCGATCCAAACGAGGATTCCTGGAAGGCAAAAGGTGCCAGCACAGAAAGCCCTGCCTGCCCACGGACTGCCCAGGCTGCGCCACACACTGCACCTGAAAGCCAAAGCTCACAAGCTTTCTGTCCTGGGAAACAGGGCTGCTGGTCCCCCCTTTTCGGCAGCCCAGCCCACCATTGCCGCCACCCGGATCCAAACCCTTTATCAATGAAGGATTCCCCGGAGGAAAAGGTGCCAGCACAGAAGCCCTGGCTGGCAACACGGACTGCCCAGGCGCGCCACACACTGCACCTGACAGCCAAACCTCAACAAGCATTCTGTCCTAGGAAAACAGGGCTGCTGTCCCCCCTTTTCGTCAGCCCCGCGGCCCCCCGCCCACCCATTGCCGTCTCGCCCCCAATTCCCGATCCAAACCCGTTCAAAGGAGGAGTCGCGAAGGCAAAAGGTGCCAGCACAGAAAGCCCTGGCTGCACACGGACTGCCCAGGCTGCGCCACACACTGCACCTGAAAGCCAAACCTCACAAGCTTTCTGTCCTGGGAAACAGGGCTGCTGTCCCCCCTTTCGTCAGCCCCACCCACCATTGCCGGCTAGGCCCCCAAGTCCCGATACCAATGAGGATTCCTGGAAGGGAAAAGGTGCCAGCACAGAAAGCCCTGCCTGCCCACGGACTGCCCAGGCTGCGCCACACACTGCACCTGAAAGCCAAACCTCACAAGCTTTCTGTCCTGGGAAACAGGGCTGCTGTCCCCCCTTTCGTCAGCCCCGCCCACCAGTGCCGGACACCCGATCCAAACCCGTTACAAATGAGGATTCCTCGAAGGGAAAAGGTGCCAGCACAGAAAGCCCTGGCTGCACACGGACTGCCCAGGCTGCGCCACACACTGCACCTGAAAGCCAAACCTCACAAGCTTTCTGTCCTGAGAAACAGGGCTGCTGTCCCCCCTTTCGTCAGCCCCGCCCACCATTGCCGGATCGCCTCCCCCAAAACCGATACAAAAGAGCATTCCTCGAAGGGAAAAGGTGCCAGCACAGAAAGCCCTGGCTGCACACGGACTGCCCAGGCTGCGCCACACACTGCACCTGAAAGCCAAACCTCACAAGCTTTCTGTCCTGGGAAACAGGGCTGCTGTCCCCCCTTTCGTCAGCCCCGCCCACCATTGCCGGCTCGCCCCCCAAGTTCCGATACCAATGAGGATTCCTGGAAGGCAAAAGGTGCCAGCACAGAAAGCCCTGGCTGCCCACAGACTTTCCAGGCAGCACCACACACTGCACCTGAAAGCCAAACCTCACAAGCTTTCTGTCCTGGGAAACAGGGCTGCTGTCCCCCCTTTCGTCAGCCCCGCCCACCACTGTCGGACACCTGATCCAAACGCGTTACAAATGAGGATTCCTCGCAGGGAAAAGGTGCCAGCACAGAAAGCCCTGCCTGCCCACAGAGTACCCAGGCTGCGCCACACACTGCACCTGAAAGCCAAAGCTCACAAGCTTTCTGTCCTGGGAAACAGGGCTGCTGTCCCCCCTTTCGTCAGCCCCGCCCACCATTGCCGGCCACCGGATCCAAACCCGTTACAAATGAAGATTCCTCGAAGGGAAAAGGTGCCAGCACAGAAAGCCCTGCCTGCCCACAGAGTGCCCAGGCTGCACCACACACTGCACCTGAAAGCCAAACCACACAAGCTTTCTGTCCTGGGAAACAGGGCTGCTGTCCCCCCTTTCGTCAGCCCCGCCCACCATTGCCGGCTCGCCCCCCAAGTTCCGATACCAATGAGGATTCCTGGAAGGCAAAAGGTGCCAGCACAGAAAGCCCTACCTGCCCACAGAGTGCCCAGGCTGCGCCACACACTGCACCTGAAAGCCAAAGCTCACAAGCTTTCTGTCCTGGGAAACAGGGCTGCTGTCCCCCCTTTCGTCAGTCCCGCCCACCATTGCCGGACACCCGATCCAAACCCATTACAAATGAGGATTCCTCGAAGGGAAAAGGTGCCAGCACAGAAAGCCCTGGCTGCCCACAGAGTGCCCAGGGTGCGCCACACACTGCACCTGAAAGCCAAACCTCACAAGCTTTCTGTCCTGGGAAACAGGGCTGCTGTCCCCCCTTTCGTCAGCCCCGCCCACCATTGCCGGCCACCCGATCCAAACCCGTTACAAATGAGAATTCCTCGAAGGGAAAAGGTGCCAGCACAGAAAGCCCTGGCTGCCCACCGAGAACCCAGGGTGCTACACACACTGCACCTGAAAGCCAAACCTCACAAGCTTTCTGTCCTGGAAAACAGGGCTGCTGTCCCCCCTTTCGTCAGCCCCGCCCACCACTGCCGGACACCTGATCCAAACGCGTTACAAATGAGGATTCCTCGAATGGAAAAGGTGCCAGCACAGAAAGCCCTGCCTGCCCACAGAGTGCACAGGGTGCTCCACACACTGCACCTGAAAGCCAAAGCTCACAAGCTTTCTGTCCTGGGAAACAGGGCTGCTGTCCCCCCTTTCGTCAGCCCCGCCCACCACTGCCGGACACCTGATCCAAACCCGTTACAAATGAGGATTCCTCGAATGGAAAAGGGGCCAGCACAAAACCCTGGCGGCCCACAGAGTACCCAGGGGGCGCAACACACTGCACTGAAAGCCAACCTCACAGGCTTTCCTTCCTGAAACAAGGCGTCTGTCCCACTTGCGTTCGCAGCCCGCCCACCAGTGCCGTCCTCCCCCCCCAAGTTCCGATACCAATGAGGATTCCTGGAAGGCAAAATGTGCCAGCACAGAAAGCCCTGCCTGCCCACAGAGTGCCCAGGCTGCGCCACACACTGCACCTGAAAGCCAAACCTCACAAGCTTTCTGTCCTGGGAAACAGGGCTGCTGTCCCCCCTTTCGTCAGCCCCGCCCACCATTGCCGGACACCCGATCCCAACCCGTTACAAATGAGGATTCCTCGAAGGGAAAAGGTGCCAGCACAGAAAGCCCTGCCTGCCCACGGACTGCCCAGGCTGCGCCACACACTGCACCTGAAAGCCAAACCTCACAAGCTTTCTGTCCTGGGAAACAGGGCTGCTGTCCCCCCTTTCGTCAGCCCCGCCCACCATTGCCGGCCACCCGATCCAAACCCTTTACAAATGAGGATTCCTCAAAGGGAAAAGGTGCCAGCACAGAAAGCCCTGGCTGCCCACAGAGTGCCCAGGCCGCGCCACACACTGCACCTGAAAGCCAAAGCTCACAAGCTTTCTGTCCTGGAAACAGGGCTGCTGTCCCCCCTTTCGTCAGCCCCGCCCACCATTGCCGGACACCCGATCCAAACCCGTTACAAATGAGGATTCTTCGAATGGAAAAGGTGCCAGCACAGAAAGCCCTGCCTGCCCACAGAGTGCCCAGGCTGCGCCACACACTGCACCTGAAAGCCAAACCTCACAAGCTTTCTGTCCTGGGAAACAGGGCTGCTGTCCCCCCTTTCGTCAGCCCCGCCCACCACTGCCGGACACTGATCCAAACCCGTTACAAATGAGGATTCTTCGAATGGAAAAGGTGCCAGCACAGAAAGCCCTGGCTGCCCACCTACTTCCCACGGGCCGCACCAACACTGCACCTGAAAAGCCCAACCTCACAGCGTTCTGTCCTGGGAAACAGGGCCTGTCCCCCCTTTCGTAGCCCGCCCACCCTGCCGCGCCACCGATCCCACACCTTGTTACAATGACGATCCTCGAGGGAAAAGCGTGCCAGCACGAAAGCCCTGGTGCCCACAGAGTACCCCAGGATGCGCCACCCCACACACTGCACCTGAAAGCCAAACCTCACAAGCTTTCTGTCCTGGGAAACAGGGCTGCTGTCCCCCCTTTCGTCAGTCCCGCCCACCATTGCCGGACACCCGATCCAAACCCGTTACAAATGAAGATTCCTCGAAGGGAAAAGGTGCCAGCATAGAAAGCCCTGCCTGCCCACAGAGTGCCCAGGCTGCGCCACACACTGCACCTGAAAGCCAAACCTCACAAGCTTTCTGTCCTGGAAACAGGGCTGCTGTCCCCCCTTTCGTCAGCCCTGCCCACCACTGCCGGACACCTGATCCAAACGCGTTACAAATGAGGATTCCTCGAAGGGAAAAGGTGCCAGCACAGAAAGCGCTGGCTGCCCACAGACTTCCCAGGCAGCACCACACACTGCACCTGAAAGCCAAACCTCACAAGCTTTCTGTCCTGGGAAACAGGGCTGCTGTCCCCCCTTTCGTCAGCCCCGCCCACCATTGCCGGCTCGCCCCCCAAGTCCTGATACCAATGAGGATTCCTGGAAGGCAAAAGGTGCCAGCACAGAAAGCCCTGCCTGC